GTTTTGTGAGACATTACGTTTTGCTGCCCTCCCTGATCTCAGGGCAGACCTTTGTTAATAAGTTCTTCTTAATAAGTGTTACAGCAAGACACAGATTTCCAAACTGGCTTTCCAACTGGAAACAAGTTGCTCATTAAGCCCCCCCTAGTTAACTCTTGTCCCCTTTGTGCATTGCTAGTGTTGAGGAAGACAGTCTGTATATACTCAGATTTTTTGTTTCCTTCAGTCAGGTTTGAGGGTCTTTTAGGGTATGAAGACTGCTTGCTGTTGGAGATTACAAAGAACTACCTTTTCCTTCCTCACTCCCTTTCAGCCAACATTTGGGCAGCTGAAATAAAGTGCCTGGGAGCCTCCAGAATACTGAGAACAAAGGGCACCAAGGAAAACTGTAAATCCTTGTGACACGACCCCAGGTAAAATTTGAGACTAATTAAATAGACACGAAAGGTTTTTTTTTAAAAAAAAAAAGCAAACCCAGACCCTGTGATTACCTATATTTGGCTGCAAAAATCTGTAAACTTGTCTTTCCAAATATTGCAAAACTTGTTTGGTTTGTATGTTCTCAGCAGGGAGATAATCTTTTCTTCACCTGCAGAAGTGGTAGGAAAAAGACGATGTATAAATTATTGTGACCCTTAAAGAAACTTACTCTCACTTGCAATAGGGGTGCTGTCAGCACTTGGACTATGTTTCAGAATCTCTCAATGAAAGGGACACCCAGGGGCTCTTGTCACGCTCTCTTTAATTTGCTGCTCTGCTTGTGCTTAGAAGTCAGAGGACCACAGTGTTATATATGGCTTTCTCTACACTGCTGTCTGGTACTGGTGGCCACTGGTGGGCAGCAGCATAGGGACATTGTGACAACTTCAGGAGAGCTAACCCAGACGTGCCAGCAATCTGGCAGCAGCCCCGTGAAGCCTGGGCTTTTCTAGCTGGGCTTGTCTACCCTCACCTCTAGTGCAGTCCTGCTGTAGGCATGTCGATACAATGCCAACCCAGGAGGACCAACACCCATTGTGAAACCTCATTGTCACGCTTGGCAAGAGCTGAGTGTGTCACATTTTCGCTGCAAAATCTGACTTTTCTTACAGGTCCGCTAGCACAGAAAGGATTTGGCTTTTTAAGAGCACTTTCCTCTTCCTTTCTGCTGGAAGGAATTACTCAGCCAATGTCAGCATGCCTGGAGGTGTCTCCCCTTGAAGTGCTCTGCTCTGTAGTTGCTGTGACATTCCTGTACAGCACAAGGCTCACACAGAGCAACTGGAACCCATAAGCCAGCAAAGCCACCAGGCACAGGTCAGGAACTCAGCTTGCCACTGGGGAGTTTCCTCACAGGTTTGTGTTTGCTACTGCCTTAAGATAAATCTCTGGGAAAGCTCTTCAGTGTCAAAGCAAACTGGATAAAAGGTCAAGAGGGGCTGTTATTTTACCACCCTCTGCCTTCAAGTTTGCCTTCCCTCACAACCTTGATTAGCCTGTCATTGCCTATCTTTCTCCATATCTTTATTTCCCTTGAGGAAACCCTTCTTAAGTATCCCCACTCAAGGTGTTTGCACGGCTGATCTGTGAGCTCTGTATTAGAGATCCCCACACTATTTCTGAGCAGGCTGCTGTGTTCATACAGAGGACAAGGCTCAATTCTGGTCTTAGTTTCACTGGTTTAAGTCGAGGAGTTGCTGCGCTGCTCTCTATTGTTAACTCCTGAAGTTAATGGTGCTGCCCCTTAATTCACTCTTTTCCGTTACTTAGGTCTCAGGAACTTTGCAGGGACATATTTGCCTTGTCCACTGCATTCATCCTCTCTTCCCCAGATAAAGTGGGACCACTGCCCCTCTCTCCCGTGCAGACACGATGGTAAAAGTGAAGTTGCCTAGACCCTCCACTCATTTGTATTGGCACAGCCCCACAGCTTTCAGGAATGGTTAAATGATTTATATGGGCCCAAATAATTCTAATGATTAAACACAACCACTCTGTTAGCTGACACCTAAAAAAGTGATTTAATACCAAACCCAGCCTTTGCTGGCATTCATTGGTGACTGAAGCAAATAATTTGAATTTAAAGCCAAATAAGACAGTGGAGGAGTAGGTCAGGAATTGGGCCATAGAAACAATAACAAAAGGAGACCACTGATGCAGTTAATGTCATCGGGCCAAGGTAAGTATCAGCTATCTGTGCATGAAGATAATCAGGGTTTATAGTACAGTAGTGAGTCTGTGTGGGATTAGGTTTGGAATATTTCATCAATTATATAGCTGTAAGCTATAATAAAAAATAATAATACTTTGCACTTGCATAGTGCTTTCATCCTCAGATCTCATCTTGAAGCACTTCATAAACATTAATTAAGCCTCCCACCCCTGTGAAGTACATATTAGATTATTATTATTATATCAGTTTTTAAAATGGAAAAAATAAGTTAAGTGACTCACCCAAGGTCACCTCCATCATGTTTAAGAGGGGTGTCAGCTGACAGACATCTGAGATGCAGTCTCCAAGCTGAAAGAAAGATTGGGGTGAACTGGGGAGGATAAAATGATATTGCTGCTTCCTTCTGATGTTAAACTGTACTGTAGATGGAAATGCTGTGTCTTCGAAATGCACCTGTTGTTAGCTGTGCATGGGTAAAAACAATTTTGTAAGCAATAGAATGAATGAAACCTAATTTCCTTCAGATGTTCGTCTCACGCTTGTGCTGTTTCTCTGCTACAAGTTTTTCTCAAGACTGATGCATCCATATCATGATGTAGATTCATTAATGCCTAATTTGTGCTGAGATCACTCTTCAACCTTCCTTTCAGCTAGGGATATTTATTGGGGTCTTTTCCTCCACTTGCATGTTTTTTGTTTTTTGTTTTTTTTTCCTCAAACCTACAGAAACCAAAAATTTGTGAAGCCTTTCCCCTCTTGCTAAATTTACTTTGAAACTGGCCAATGCACTCAAACATCAGTAGGAAGGAGCAAACAGGCTCAGTTTCTGCAGGCTTAGTTTCCTACATCTCTTTCTCTTTTGTGCATATCAGCTGAAGACTAGTGGACTGTACAAAGCTTACATTTCAGGAAAAATGTAAGAAGTTTTTTCTCAAGTGGACTTTAAAGCACAAAGCTTATACAGCAAACTGCTTTTTTTAACAAACGCATCCATTCCTTATCTCTCTCTCTGCTTTCAGAACAGCCCATGCTGTTACAGGCATTACTTACAGGTTAAAGATACTTACTCTGATAGAAGTTAAAACACCTACAGGGAAGAGGTTACAAGAGACATCACTGGCACAAGCAGTAACAGAGGACAGCACTGTGACTAAAAACTAACATTAAGATATTAGCTCCCATTTAAGCATAAATACAGATTAATAGTAACTTTTTATTAATTATCTCCCTCAGCTTATTTTGTTCTTTTGCAGCTCTAGCTGTAAGCATTGAAATGGAGGGGGTGACCACTGAAATTCTTGTCAAATCCTACTTATTCTAAAGCATTTGTCATCAGGAGATCTTAGAGGGACACAAAAAGTAGGAAGCTTTGATCTCATTTTACCATGTGTGGAGAATGGGAAAGCCAAGACACAGAGCAGTGAGATGAGCTGCCTTTCACTGCCCAGGAGTGGGTTCCCTTACAGCAAGCTATGCAGCAGGAAAATGGGTATTGTCCTGTAAAAATTAGTCCTTTACTTTGCTTATGAACTTGCTAGAACCTGTGAATGTGTCTTTTGAAAGGTGTATTTGGAGGGGCTGTCACATTGCAGCAGAATTAAGGTGAATGAAAATGATACCACATTAGTAAAGCACATATCCTATCTTATCTGTTCTCTCTGCCACACCTCAATTCAAGAACAAACACTTTCAGCTCCCTGTTTTGGAGATATGTTTCTCTGTGATGTGAGTGTCTCTTCTGAGAGGGTTCCTCTGTGGGTTTCACCTGCATAGGCTTTATGATCTCTCTTCTGTGACTTTGAAGGAGGGATGGAATCAATATGTTTTCCAAAAGGTATTTTTGAAATCTATATCCAGTATTGGATATAGGTATACTGGATCTGCATCTCTCTCTGTCTCTGACCTGTGCCAAGTAAAGCCATCTGTGTTAAGACTGCACTCAATGACTTCTTGTCACTCTAGGAATTTGGAAGTTGAAAATAAGGCCTGGCATAAGTGAGGACAGCTCTAAATACACTATAATTCCTGATGGGATCCTAAGGATGCTGGGCACCCTCTCCACAGCCCAAAGTGACCTACAGTCTTCTGAGAGTGATGCAGGACAAAGACACCTTCTCTCACTCCTGCAGGAGAATGGCAAGTATAGTAAAACAGAGGAAAAACAGTGAAATACTCACTTGGCCACTGCAGCTGACCTGGACTGTGGGCCTGTGCTGACTCCAGACCAGGAATACGTGCACTTTCCTCATCATCTGGACTGATTTAGAGTTCATTTGCTCAAGACTCACTATCCTGAACTGTGACAATTTTACCCTTTACCCCTCTCTCGTGCAACCAAGGTATTGTAAAAAAGAGTGAGGAAGAAAAAGGCACTTTATTCTTTTGCAGGAGAAACAAAGAAGGAGGCATCAAGTTCAAGCAAACTCCATCCATCTCTTCTGGCCACAGAGCCACTCACTCTCAGTTTTCAGTCCTGCTGGATGGAGAAGGAATAAGATTCTCTAATTAGTTTCCTCAGTAATTTTAAAGCTGATAGTCCACAACATAACAGGAAGGGATAAACAAGCTCACAGTCACAAACTGATTGATAGGAGCCTTCCCAGGGCCCTCACTGAGAGTATTAAGGCCTGATTTAAAGCCCTTCGAATGCCGTTTGAAGTTTTCCATCAATGTCACCGTGGGGTTTGGATTAGTCCTCTGACAAGTGGGACATGCATAGGGTATTACAGGAAAAGGGCTGGCTTTTTTCCTCAAATTGAGAAAGTTACTGTTTCCTTCTTGGCAATATGAAATATCTGTTAGGTAGTCATATGTATGTGTCCAGCCAGCTCCTTTGGTTGACCTCTGTGACAACTGTTCATGCAGATGTGCCTGATACAATGCAGCAATTATTTGTTTTCTTTAAATTTTGTGAACTTATAAAACTTATAACTACAGTGAGTACTTGCTTAAATAAAAGAAAGATTAAATATTTTTGTAAAATATGGAGAGTACCTTTGGATTTCAAAATTAATTATGTGTTGGAAATGAAGCTATCTATTTGAAACTGCAAGAATAATAGATATGAGGCATTCCTAATAAACAAAAACCCCTTGGGTTTTGAACACTCTACCTCTGCAATAAAAGGCAGAGAAATTAGCTACAAAGTTATGTAGCTGAAAACCGATTCACAAAGAACGTTTTACATTAAATACAGGCAGAACTTTCTGATTCCCTGGATGTAGTAAAAAGCATGTATGTGTTTTTACAGATATTTGAAATACAGGGTAGAGTCCAAGGTGTTTTGGACTAGACCTTTTGGAGTCTTCTAACTGAGACCTGACAGTCACATGACAACTACTCAGTTTCTCTCGCCCCTGTTTCTGGCTCCCCAGTGCTCTGCAACTGGCTCAATCCATTTCAGTGGTATCATTTCACATGGTAGTTCATCTTCACTTGGGATCCATAAGATGAAATAGCCACTGGTATAATTTATTTAATTGTCCTCTTACTACCCAAAGCAACTTCTAGTCATTTTAAGTGACAATGGCTAAGACACAAAAGAACATAATAGAATAGCACAAAATTATCTATTAAAAAATCAGAATTATTATTTCATTTCAGGAAATTCCATCCTTGCTTACTGATTTTATAAATACCACAAAAATACTCTGGTCAGTCTTTAAAAATAAATATAAAGAAGGAACTGTCTGTTTCATAAACAATTTTTCCCACTGTTAAGCCTATTAGCTTAATACCATAAAGTATTTAAGGAAATTTAACCCCCAAAATATGATAGGCAAGATATATTGTCTTGCTCCGTTCCCTTTATATCCCCTCATATTTTATCCTGGAGAGCAGAAATTTGTTTCATTTTCCATGTAATTTTAAGCAATTCATATGAGACTCAATCAGCATGGTCCCTTCAAGGAAATACTCTGCTTAGGGAATGACTGTGCCATAGTTACTTGTAATAGGAAAGGAGATGAACAAGAACTTGTACCATGACAAAAGAAATGTGTTTGTGGTTAAGTAACGAACTCTGAACTCAAGAGACAGTAGCCTGATGAGAACAATCAAGTTAAGAGCAGCCAGATTTCCAAAAAGTTCAGCTCCACAGCCAAAGCAAACAGAGCGATTTTCAAGAGGCCTTCATCTCGGTTTACCTCTGGTCAGCAAAACACTTAAACACTTTTAAATAATTTGATCAATGATTCTACTTGTTTACTTAATGCTGGACACCTGATAGATGCCACGCTGAATCATTATTTTCACAGATGCTTGTTTGGGAAGGGTTTAGCTGCTCAGGTGAGAATTCAGTCAGGGCACCAGTGGGATTTCACCAAAGCCTGGGGTCAGTCATGGGCCCGTGTCTGTGTTACCAATAATCTGGTGCAACAGGAGCAAAGTAGGAGGCTGACATAGACCCTGCTGAGCTCCCTACATGCCCACCGTTTGCACTTTGAGATTTTTACTTCAGACTATATTTAGTCTGAAATCCTGGACTGAAAGTCACAAATGAAGAAATTGTTTGAGGTCCAAAGGACGAGGTCCTGTTTTGGACCCTCGTGTCCCTGTGGGAGCAGGCTGCATTTGGTGAACTCCTGAAGTGGAGCTTCTGGATATAGTCCATGCAGACCAGGCAGTTTGCTTCAAAAATACTCCAGAGAACACTATTAGATGAAACTGTGATGGGTTATCTGAAAATGAGGAGAAAGAACTGCTTTTGGAAACAACATGTTAAATCTCCCTAAACTACAAGGAAATCACTCCGGCATGCAGTTAAATGTTCTTCCTCAGTTAGAGAGAATCTCCTAATCGGGTACCTTTATGCCTCAATTCCCAACCTGTTGTACTTCCTTTCTTTATCTCTGATAGAAATCTGGGCTGAAATTTCCAAAGGAGTTTAAATAAAAAGATGACAGAAGCTACTGAATGGCTGTGGATATGGAAACCAACTCTCTTCAGAAATTCCAGCTGGGACTGAAAGCATCTTAGAGAAGGGATTCTTTCTCACCATGTGTTTGCAAAGTGCCTGCAGTACAGAGGACACCCCCCCACACCTTGTATTAGATATTTTGTGAAGTTCAGTTGAAGCAAATTGCTGCAGAAATAGGAGAAATTAATCAAAACAATATTTACAAAATATTAAAAATGGATTTTTTTTTTTTTTTACAATCTAAGACTTGAAATACAACACTGTTTTTCTATCCCAAATCTACGTGCTTGTTTGTTTTCTCAAAAAGTTGACATTTTCAGCTGCAGAGCAATGAATTCCAAGGAGTTTCAGTTCTATGGTTTACTGTAAGTTAAAAAATAATAAGAATAATTTACTAGGAATAGAGTCAGTCTGCAGGTTATTATTATTC